TATATGAATGTACCTCTGAAGGTTCTGACTGTCTTCAGAAACGATTCGATGGCATTTTGTTTTCATCTTCGCTCCATGTAATACCTAAAGGAAGTGTTCTTAATCGCAATACTGCTTTGTCCACTGAGGTTACGGGAAACAGCTCTAATTCAGCTTTTCCTTCAGCGCCACCTGCTGTGAGCGAGTGGATTTACAGAGACTTATATTTACATTCAGCCTGTGTGCAGTTTCTGTCTGGCCACGGACGGACCGAATTTGTATGCTCTGCTGTACATTTTGACCGGTTGATGAAAAACAAGCTTATGTGGATTCTACACATTTAAACAATTCAGATAAGTTATCTAGAATTATTTATGGAGCAGATAAAATACATATAATGTATGTATGTGTGTTGTGGTTTATATTTATGCATGTGTATTTTATTCACATCTTATTTTTATTAGCTGTGTGTTGTTGTTGTCTCCGTTTACTGGAAGCTTGTGACACTATAACAAAGTGTGTAGTGTGTAGTGTGTGTGTAGTGCGTGTAGTGTGTGTGCAGTATGTGTGTAGTGTGTCTGTAACGTGTACTGTAGGACTCACTTGCGTGGCGGTAGCAGCGGCGGCTGCTGTTCGCTGAGAGAGCGCTGTGTGGCCTTCAGGTAACTCTGGCGTCTGGCGGCAGTTTTGGGTGAGGGTTTGGGTGAAGGGGGTCCGTCCGAGTCGTCGCTGTCCTCCATGTCTCCCATGGCTTTAACGTAACTGCCGCTGCGCATCCGTCTGCACGGGATCTCGCCCGCACCACCGCCTCCCTTACCCAGCGTCCCGCTCCATTCACCCGCAGGCACCTGCCAGAACACTTACACTTACTACCCACAATGCATCTGGGTCAAAGGATGTCAAATAAAACTTCTGAAATGTACTTTAAAATGCATGTGAGTTCTCTGTGTTAGTGTTGGTTAATATATTTTTTGAAAATCTCATTTTAAAATTCCACTGATAAAATGGCATTTAAAATGACAATGAAATATTGTTGAAATATTATTTAGATATATTAATTAATATATGACTATTTTTTATTATATATATATATATATATATATATATATATATATATGTGTGTGTGTGTGTTTGTGTGTGTATATATTATATTGCATTTATTGTTTTTATTTATTTATTGTTTAAAATTATATATAATTAATGTGAAATTGTTCAAATATTAATAACAATTACGCTTTTTTCTCTAAATATTATATATATTTTATACACATATATTCAAAACAAACAAAAAAATAAGCGATAAATAATAAAAAAGTGATATAAAGTGGTTATTTGGCATTATAATCAATATTATTGCCTATTATGAAATCTTTTATGCCTTATCCTTGTAGTGTTTGTCACAAACTCAAGAAATCTCTTCACTGTCTCTCCCACACTGACTGTCTTTCTTCCATGTCACCTGTACCTGTAGGAAGTTGCAGGTCATCTCTTGGCCGTGGCAGGACTTGGACTTGAGCAGGCTGCGGTTGACGGTGGCGGATCCCTTCTGCAGCACCTGTCGGGCCTGACTGAGGGTCAGCGTGGACCACGAGCCCCTCTTGACCAGCGTGTTCTCCCCCGTCTGGCCCGTGGAGGGCGGCAGGCTGACGGTGGGCTTGAGGTCTCCGCTGCTCTTGGAGGATTTGAGCGAATGAGCCGCGATGGTGTTGTAGCCCTGCGGATGCGGTCTGGGAGCCGCCTGACTGTCCGACACGGCCCTGCCCAACGTCATCATGCTGAGAGGGTTTCGATACGCCATCGCTAATGGCCCGGCGGCGGGCTGAGCCAGCGCCTCGTCCTCCAAACAGTCATCCGAGCTCCAGAAGCCTGAGAGATTGGGCCGCGGGTGGCGTTTGGTGCCTTCGGTCTTGGCGCGGTCTTTGCTTTTGCTGCGGCGGGCTGCTTTAGCCGCGTCTCCGGCTGGGCCCGCGGTGATGCTCCCTTTGACCGCCGACACCTCCAGGGACTGGGACTTGGCGAAGAGCTTCTGGACGGACTGCACCAGGTTGCGGATGCGGCTGGGACTCTCGCTGCGCTGCTTGGAGCCGTGGCTGCGCCGGTGGAACTGCAGCGTGCTGAAGCCGTCGCGCTGCAGCGGTAGGTGGCGCTCCAGCTGGTCCAGCAGGTTGGCTGGGAGCCGGTTCATCTTGGCGGCGGCCGCGGATGAGATGGTGGCCGTGCCGCTGCTGATCATGGCGGGAGCGCCCAGTCCCAAACCCAAACCCATGGACATGGAGGACGTGAGCGTGCCGGAGCGACTGCCCATCTGAGCCACACAAGCCTGCTGAGACACAACAACACCATCATAAAATTACTAGAAAAATATACAAATTTACTATAACAAGCGTGAGTTAAATATGAGTTTAAAACTGCACATTTGTTGACTGTATTACATATATCACATGCACACTATTAGAGCTGATTAACAAATATTAGTATTGTATTATTAAACAATAAATGTTGTATTTATTATAATTATTTGCACTTATTATTTATTATCATACAACTAACTGTATATCACCTGCACAATATTATTAATGTTATTTCAGTTATCGCAGTTATTTAGGTATTTGTATGATACATGCTCAATATTACAATTGGTTAAAATATAAATTAATTATTTTTAACAAATATTTGTATTCATCATTAATTATAATACATTATTATTATCATTATTATTATTATTGCACTTTTATTTATTATATTATACTAAAACATTTAAAAAAAAAAAAAAATGTATGACTGACGATTTTATCACCAGAGATTGTCAGCTGGCTGTATTTTTTGGTCATACATATTAACAAAACTAAAAAAAAGTTTTTTTTTTGTTTGTTTGTTTTGTTTTTTACATTTTGCAAATTGCAAAAAGTAAATATTGTAAATGCATTTTTATTTATTATGAATTTATTTATTTATTACAACAAATACACAAATAAGTTTAATTTAATTAATTAAATCTAAAAATCGAAATCTAAATAAGTTCAATAATAATAATAAATTCAAATATTTGTATTTTAACTACTTGTAATATTGTGCATATGATATATTCATACAAATTTCAACAAATATATAAATATATACCTTTTCAAACTCAAAACATCTGAATTTAAATTGTGATGCATAGATGCATCAAATAATGGACAATATGAATGATTGCATAAATCAAAACACTTATGATGTGTACTCCATGCTTTTTTATATTTCTATTCATATATATATTGTTTATAATATATGTTATATTTATATATACACTATTGTTCAGTCTCGCTGAGTCTGTACTTTTTTTTTTAAAATAATATTTTTATTCAGCAAGGATGCATTAAATCGATCAAAAGTGACAGTAATCACATTTATAATCTTGCAAAAGATTTCTATTTCAAATAAATGCTACTCTTTTCAACTTTCTATTTATCAAATAATCTTGAAAGATAAAATCCACAAAAACTTCCACAAAAATATGAAGCGGCACAACTGTTTTCAACATTGATAATAATCAGAAATGGTTACTGAGCAGCAAATCAGCATATTAGAATGATTTCTGAAGATCATGTGACACTGAAGACTGGAGTAACGATGCTGAAAATTCAGCTTTGATCACTGGAATATATTACATTTTACAATATATTCACATAGAAAACAGCCACTTTAAATTGTAATGATATTTCCAGATATTACTGTTTTTACTGTATTTTAATGAAATAAATGCAGTGTGGTGTCAGTACCTGTGTGTAGTCGCTCTGCTCCGGCTGGTTGGTGTAGTGGAGGCGTGGGAAGGTGCTGCTGGTGGCCAGCTGGTTGTTGAGGGGCAGCAGGCAGTCCGACTGCAGCGTCGTCGGGGTGGAAACAGGAAAATGATGGAGGTGAGGATCTAGAGTGGCGTAGTGGTTGACAGTGGGGCTCAGGAGGAAGGCGGCGTGGGGGTCTGGGGCCAAGGGACACAGGGGCTCCTGGGGGCCCGCGGTGGGGTCGCAGGTGTCGGACAGATGGCGGCTACGGTTGGCCCCTAAGCCTTTCATGGTTGCTGCACAGGGTCGGCTCTAGAACATGATCCCAGATGAAGAGAGACGACGGCCCTGGAGGGCGACCCCTACAGGACAGACAGACAAACACACAGTCAGTCTCCGTTCAAATCCAGCTGGCTACAGTGATGAAGCTGCTGAACGTAAGCGCACACTGGTTTTCTTAAGTCATGTTTTCAAGCCTTTGCAAATAACTGAAATAAAATACATTTAAAGAAACATTAAAATTCCTAAAACTAAAACGGAAATAAAAATAAAGCTAAATAAAATATTTACTTTTTTAAATGAAAGAAAATTTATATAACTAGAAGATGAAAAAATTTAACAACACAATTACACAAAAAAAAAATCAACTTAAAGAAAATTAGAAATTTAGATAAAATCTTTATTTCTTCATATAATTTTTATATTTGAATATTTATATGCAAATTCACTAAACAATTGCACTACTTTTGCACATTTCTTGTCAGCACAAAAAAACCTGCGTATCACTAACCATTCACTAAACAACCCAGTTTAACCAGGAAAGTTACAGCTACAATTAGGTACTACTTCCTTTCTCAGAAATGTAAAGCATTATAGGCTTATTTACAAAATTCTGTGCTATCAACATGAAGGGAAACCAAAATTCCGTTGATCTTTTGACATATAAGATTTCATTGTACTGTAAAAACATTGTGTAAGTTTCAGAACTCAAAACTTTGTCGTTACTCTAAAAACAAATTATATTGAAGGCAGTCTGCCGAAACAACAGTTTGTGCAATGCGATTCTACATCGCTGCCTG